GGTGAGAGACGCGTTAAGAGCTGGGGGAGAGATGCAGCCGTGAGGAGAGGGGGGAGACGGCAGGGTGGCGGCAGCGGCGAGGGGGAGCGGCGCGGCCGCGGCGGCCGATGCTGTTGCATCGCAGCAATCCCCCGCACAGCCAGCGCCGCCACCCCTCGCCCGCGCTCGTGTGGGGAAGCGGCGGCGGCAGGAAGGGCGGCGGCGGAGACGGGCGGGGTGGAGAAGACGGAGTCGGGCGGGGTGTGGGGGGACGGTGGAGGAAGAGGCGGGCGCGGTAGGTGGGGGAGGCGAGGGGAGGCGGAGGCAAAGAAGGAGGAGGGGGAGGAAACGGGAAGGAGGCAGGAGCGGGTTGGAGGGGGCGAGGGAGGGAGCGATGGGTGGTGGGGAGGAGGCGATGGTGGTGGTGTGGGGAGGGAGGCGCGGGGAAGGAGCGGCGCGCACCGAAGCCGCCCTTTTTGTACCGGAAGGCGTTGACGCGGTTGCGCAGCCGCTTCTCCTTCTTCAGGTTGCTGCGGCAGGCCATGCACACGCAGTGCTGGGTATGGCGTTCGGTCTGCAGCATGTCGCCCGCAGCGACAGCGGCGCGGCGCCCCAACACGAGCGGTGTGACCACCAGAGCCTACAGGCGCGGGATCGGCGCTCAGCGCGTCGCGCGGAGGGCACGCTGGCGGCTGCACTGCGGCGCCTTGCTGATCTCCAGCAGCCCGACCAGGAGAAGCAGGAGCGTTTTGAGGCCCGTCATGGGCGAGGCTGCGAGAAGCTCGAGCAAGCTCCAGGCGAGAAAAAGAATTTAAACAAAAGAACTCTCTCTCACAGCAGACAGGCTCGACACAGGTGCGAACTGGCGCGTGCTAGTACTATCACCGGCACACCACCGGAGCCGCCTAAGCGACTCCGTTAAGAACGGCAATGCACTTAGCACCGTGCACAATGCCGCTGTCCCCGCACGCTAGCTCGTTCACCGTCTGCCACGCCACGGCGGTGTGGAGAACGACAGACAAGCGCTGCATCTGCAGCCCGTGCCAGTTCTTGGTGGTCCATGTGACCTCATCGAGGTGCTGAGCGTGCGAAAGTTTGTTACTCAGCTGGTCCGCCGCCTGCCGAAGAATTCTGCGGACGCCGTCCCCGAAGCCGCCGAACGTCTCGAAGTCGAGCAAACGCAGGTCGCAATTCTTCTCCCGCGCGAACCGGTAGTCGCCCTTCTTGTAGCGGGCCGTCACAGGTGCCCCTGCCTCCGCCTCCCCCTCACTCTCCCCCTCCTCCTCTTCCGCCGCCGCCGCCTCCGCCTCTGCATCCTCCGCCTCCCTCCCCCCTCCCCCCCCCCCTCCCGGCCGCGGCCATGCAGCATGCCCTAACACTAAGTCGAGCAGCGCCCGCTCGGTGTTGCCGAAGGCGACAAAAGCCCCCTTCCAGCCGAGCCGATCGCCACCCTTGCACGCAAGCGAGCTCGTCAGTTTCAAGTCGCCAACGAGGCGCACATGCCCTTTGCCGATGTTCGCCGCCGCCACGTCAGGTTGTTTTGGGTTACTGTAACTGAGGTGTGCAGTCGGCTCCATCTCGATGAGCATGCCCCACGCCGAGCGAAGGGTCTTGACGAGTCGTTTGAGCAGGTATTTGTGTCGTGTCGCGTGCTTCGCACGCGGGTTGACCATTGCGGCATCGCCGAGTTCTTCGTGTGGCTTGCCGTTTGGCGCCTTCTTGCCCGCCTCCACCGCCTGGCAGGCAACATCGAGCGGGAGGCCGAGGCGGCGCTGAACTGTAATGCGCATCGCCCACGTCTCCATCTTCATATCATCCCGCATGGGGATCGCATTCAGGAAGGCGCCAGCCCCCTCCTGGCTGACTGCGACGAACCGAATCGCCTCGCGCCAGCACTTGTGGTTCTTGCACCTGCCAGTCTTGTAGCGGCCGCCCTGCCGGGATGCCTCGCTGACGAAGGCGTCGGCGAGGGCGAGCCAGTTGCGATGGTGTACGCCGACGGTGTACCGCCGCTGCGCCTGCTGTAAGAACTCGCTGGTAGACGAGAACTCCGAAAGATCCAGCAGCTCCGCCGCCGGCGTAAGTTTGGGCGGGTGGTAGCGGCGCCGTGGCACCGCCTTGGTCTCCTGGAAGGGCCCGACGACGTCTTGGTATAGCGTGCGCCCGTCCCACTCGCGCCACGTCTGCCGACCG